GAGTCTGTGTTGGCGGAAATTTGAGTCCATCTCAGCCCAGTGCTGGGGTAGCCGTTGGGCAGGCCGCTGGCTTGGCCTGTGGAGGAGTTGGAGCTGTTGTCTGTCATGCTTCTGGGCCCAGATGCCTGCGTGTGCAGCGGTGGGCAGGGGCGAGCTCTGCCAGGCCTCCTGCTCTGCTGTGCTGGACACCAGGCCTCACCCTCCATCCACAGCCAGCTTAAGGTCACGTCTGGAGGTCGGCGTTGTTCCAAACACTCATTTTCTGAGGCTCTGGGAGGCAGAATGTTTAGCAAATAGTCTACTTAACATGTATTACTTCTTTTCTGTATGTGAAATCTCAACCTTTAAAAACCCTTAGTCAGCAGTGGGAATTGACCCGTGCTGTCCAGAGCCTTCACTGGTGCCCAAGGTGGCGTGCTGTTTGAAGTGAGCCGAAATAAAAGATGATGTCCTGTTGGGCCATGCATCTGACCCCTCGTCTGTGTTGCTCTCCCTCGGGGGGAATCTCAGGCCCTCATTCTTGTGTGGAGTCCCTAGCGGAGGGCCGTCAGGCATTCTTAGACCACCCTTGGACGTGTGTGTCCCCAGCTGGCACACCCGCGCCCTTTGTGACTTGGACCGCATAGTGAAGTCCGTCTTGATCAAAGGAGAAAGGCCCCTGACAGTTGATACTCCACAGACGTGTAAAGCGGTCTTGGCAGTGTGGACCGTGGTCTTGGGAAAAGTACTTCCAGCGCTTCTCCCTTAGGAAGGGTCTCCCAGGCACAAGTCTGAGGCTTCAGTACCAGCAGGCGCCACCCAGAGGTCTGGGTCTGAGAGGCTGGAGCAGCTCTCCCTGCAAGGGCAGTGGGGTGACGGCCTGCCCTGGCTAGTCAGGGTGTCCAGTGTCCAACTGTGGGTGGGGGGTGAGAACTGGCAGCTGAGCCTCCCTCGGGGGAGCTGTGGCAGGAAGATGTGGATGTGCTTTCCAGGTGGCTCCAGTGCTCACAGGGAAGCTGGCCCAGGACTCCCGGGATGTGGGGGAGTGGCTCTGGAGAGCAGAGTGCTGGCTCCCTAGCTTTCGTGTGGACACTGCACCCTGGGAGCCCACCCCTGGCACTGACCTTGTAGGACGATACTGGAGCCTGGCACAGCTGGCAATGCCCGTGCAGCAGCCAGTCACAGAGGGCGTGTTGCCAGCAGCACTCTGCTGCATGCTTTCAGGATCAGGCCAGCAGGATGCAGGTGACAAAAGCAGGTGCCCAGCCTGTGAGGAGGGGTCTGGCAGCTTGGCTGCCTTTCCTGACTCATTGCTGGGCGCAGGTCACTTCTAGGGTTTCAGCTGGGCCGGGCACAAAGGAGTCTTCTTCAGCGTGGCCCTCCTTGGGATGCAGGCATCGGGAGCTGGCTCACCATCACACACCAGGGAGCTGAGGTGGCTTCACCAGATCCACCAGGATTCAGCAGAAACAGCCGCTGTTGTCCCTGGAGGTGACCTCTGCCTGAACTAGGAGGAAGACGGGTGTCCTGTGTGGACACTCATATCTTCCCTGTCCAGCTTGTCTTGGGCGGCTCTGCCTGTAGCTGCTGCCTCTGGGCAAGGCCTAGGGCTGAGGTCTCCTGCGTGGCTGGCTCCATCATTCCTGGTGGACATCTGGGAATTGGGGAGGGTCTGGAGGGCTCTTCCTTGCTTCCCCCGGCACCAGTGTACCCCGCTTTCCTTGAGGCTGGACAGCAAGCAGTGGTTCTGACTGTCCTCAGCCTTGGTCCACGCCAGCCAGGGGCCGGCTGGCAATGGGGTTCCCCAGCATGCCTGTAGGGCCTGTTAACTTGACCTGGCCCCAGCCGTCCTGCTGCCTGCAGCCTGGAGGTAGTTAAGAAAGGACCCCAAGTCTCCTTGGGGACCTGCCCACTGTCGCTCAGGTCCAGCTGGAAGGAAACCTCGTGCTCACTCTCCTGGGGCCGATGGCTGTAGAGTGAACCTGCTCATCTGGCAATGCACAGCCACCTGGGGGCTCACCCTTGTGCTGACCTCTGAGGGGATGGACCTGGGACTCCCTTTCCCCTTCTGGCTCAGGACTGTGGGAACCCAGGGGCCCAACTTGGGGAGGGCAGCTCCTCAGGCAGTGAGGGTTGGCCCTATGCCCCAATAAGAGGAGGGGGCAGGACTCCGGAGCAGCCTTGGCCACCTGCCACGCCTTTGCTCAGAGGCCAGCCAGCCCCTCCCCTGCTGGCCACACTTACCCCAGTGAAGAAGCAGCACCTGTGGTCACCCAGGCTGGGGGCCCCAGGGGGTCAGTTGTCCTGTTTCCTGGGTCCTGCCAGACGTGTGGGCACCAGCAGGACCCTGGGGCAGGGCCAGAAGAACCTGGGAGAGCTGAGTGGGGTGGTCCTAGGAAGGGGCTGAGGCAGCTGTGAGCCCCTGATGGACAGTGTCCCCCCTCACCCTGGGAGCTCCCTGGCACCACCCTGGAGGGGCTGAGTGCTGGAGAAGGATTGAGGGATCCTCGTAGCGGTTCCCAGGTTCCGGGAAGGGAAGGGGGTGGGGCTGTTTCCAAGGACCTGGGGGCCTGGGGAGGCGCAGCCCCTCGGGCAGCACAGCGCAGGCTCCTCAGTAGAAGCCGGGTGAACCGTGGTCAGTGGGGTCCCGCCCCGTGCGCGTCCCCGACGGCCTGCGCGCCCGGCCGACGGCCCCCGCCTGCAAGCCCTCCCCCGTGGAGCCCGCGGCTCTGGGGAGGGGGAGGGTTTATCTGGCGGCGGCGCGGGCGGCCAGAGCACTGCGCGCCGAGGCCGGCGAACCAGCGGGGACAGAGCGTGTCCCGTCCGCCCGTCGTGCCGCCGCCCCCCTCGCCTGCGCAGACATGCACCGGCCAGGCGCCCCCCGAGGCCACGTCCCCGCGCAAGGGCCCTGAGTGCCGGCTGTGCCACCGCCCCCATGAGCGCGCCTGGGTGCCCCTGCTTGCAGCGCTGAGCCGCCTAGGTCCGGAGCCGCCGGACGCCATGCGCTGGGCCTGGGCCGCGGCCCTGGCCCTCCTCTGGCCGCAGCTCGCGCTCCTCGGGGGCGTCGGGGCTCGACGGGAGTCCAAGAGGCCGCGGCAGCCGGGCCAGCGCACCGAGTCCCCGAACGCCACCGTGTCCAACAGCGAGGGGCTGCCGGCCTCCCCCAAGGTACGTTTGGGTCAGGCGCACGTGGGCTTCCCGGGTCGCCATCCTTCTCCCTGCCTGCTCTGCCCTGCCGTGCTCTCCATGTCCCCTGCCGTGTCTAGGTGGGGTGAGGCTTGGGGCACATCAGCAGCAGCTGGGTAGGAAGCAGCCTTGGCACTCCCCATCCCCTCCACCCCCCACCCTCGACCTGGGATGGGGTTGGGGGAGGGAAGGGGCTCCCCAGCCAGGCTAGTTTAAAGCCCACTGTGTCTGGAAAACCTGCAGCCATTCGATGTAATTGCTAATTCCGGAGGGGTCGAGGAAGCTTGGGCAGCTTGCTTCACACTGCCCTGCAGACCCCCTGCTGGTGCCCTGGCTGCCCCACAACTCCATGAGTAGACTGGACCCTGTGCTTCCTGGAGCACCTTGCCCTGACCCCTCAGTGGGCAGCCAGCACCTCCTGTGGTCTCTGGCATGGGATGTGCTCCCGTGCTTGGAGTCCCTTCAGCCCCAGCCTGCCCCCAGGGTTCCCTCTGAGACAGGAGACCCCTGCACCCACCTCAGCCCTGAGCCTCCACCCTCTTGGGCTGAGGATCTGCTGAGGGGTCTTGGAGCTGACCCTAGAAGTGCACGCCTGGTGGCTTCTTGCAGCTGCTGACCTAGGGGCCTCAGGACTAGGAGGGGAGCAGCAGTTGCTGGGGCAGGCCCCCTGCCAGCCCTCACGCCTTTGATCCTGGCCTCCTGCCTCCCAAGGGCGTCTCCGTGGCGGCCAGCCCGGCTGCTCTCGGCCCACGCGGCCCCATTGGAGCCTGAGGCCCCGTTTTCCAGAGGGGAAGGCTGAGGAGAGGGAGTCCTTGGTCCCAGCCAGCCATAGAAGAGTGAGCTGCCTGCGGGTTCCGGGGCCAGCCAAGAGGGTCTTGACCAATCCCAGCCATTTACCCGGGGAGGGGTCCTTGGTGGTTGTTCCCTGCCCTGCCTGGCCCCCCTGCCCAGGGCTGCCCTCTGGAGCAAGGGCAGGGTGCAGTCTGAGGACAGGCAGGCGGACCTCCATCCAAGGAGGGGCTGTGTGACACATGCCCCAGGACGGCCCTCCCCGGATGTTGGGACCCCTGCCCTTCCTGCCAGGGGTGGGCTCATCCTCCACCTGTCTGCTCCCACAGCCCTTGTCCCCAGATGCCAGTGATGCACTTGGGCCTCCAGGACCCCTGAGTTCCTCAAGTGTGATTAGGGTCATTGGCAGCCAGGGGAACAGGTAGATGGCAGATGTGTGAGGCATCAGGAGACTGACTCCTCCCACCCCCCCAGGATAGAGGACTGTCTGGTCCACTGGGAAGGAGCCCTGGCCTTCCCTGGTCAGGAGGCTGTGCCTGCCCCGGGAGCTCAGATCTCGCTGTGTTTGGGGCTCAGGGCCAACCACTGGAGTGGACCCTGGGCCAGGACCCTTTGGCCTGCCCTGCCTGGGACGGCTCTCTGGGAGCGGCCAGGGCTCTGCTGGCCTCATGACAGTGGTTCTCTCCCAGCCAGGCCACATCTGCTATGCTCTGCCCATTTTATGGGCTTCCTGTTTGAGCCCAGCACAGACTTCGTCAGAGACGGCCAGCTCCCTCCCAGCCCACACCTCTTACTTAGCACCATGTCTCCTCTGACTGGAACTGGGGGTGTTCCAGCCTCTCCTGCCTGCCTGGTACAGAACCTGGGCTTAGGAGGGAGTGGCTAGAGGGCTGAGGGGCACAGTTGAGGCAGCTCTGCCCTGCCCCTCCCGGTCCTTGCTCCAACAGCAAGGTGGGCCGGCTGCTGTGGCCTGGGTCCGAACCTGAGGAGCGGGGCCGGCCAGAGTGCCGAGGCCGCCAGCGCACACACCTGGTTCCCAGCACAGAGCAGGGCCTGTGCCCGCCCCAACCTCGCCTGGTGTCACTCTGGAAACGCTCCTGCCCCGCACCGCCAGTCTCAGCCAGGGCCAAGCCCTGTCTGGACATGTGGGGCTGGCTCGTGCATGCAGGTGTGCCCATCCGTGTGGGAACAGGGTGCCACAGAAGGGGACATGGTTGCGATGACACAGAACCAGAGCCCACGAGGGCCCAAGCCCTGGCCCACCTGTCATCTTGGTGTGAGTCCTCCAGGGGTGGCCCATGGTGCCCTGTTGGCATCTTCCTTTTATCTGCCCAGTGTTGCCCAAGGCTCCCTGCTCTCCACAGGGGCAGCTGGGCAGGACCCACTGGGCCTGGAGGTCAGCCCACTAGCCCTGTCCCTTGTTCCTTCAGCTCCCTGAGGCCTTGGGGCCTGAGTTCTCAGATGCCCACATGACGTGGCTGAACTTCGTCCGGCGGCCGGATGATGGGGTCTCAAAGAAACGATGCCGAGGCCAGAACAAAAAGTTGGTGAGCCCCCAGGTCTGAGCCCAGGGCAGGGGCGGTTGTGGCTCCCCCCGGGATCTTTACTTTCTCCTGCCTCCTTCCAGCGAGGCCTCTCCGGCCCCCCAGGGCCTCCTGGGCCCCCTGGCCCCCCAGGCCCCCCCGGTGCGGAAATCACTCAGGAGGCCCTGCTGAGGGAGTTTCAGGAGATGCTGAAAGGTGAGGCACCTTCACGGCCCCCCGCTCCTCTGGGAGGCTCAAGAGGGTCCCACCTGGGCCCAGGAGGTGACCCCACACTGACCCCAAGCTGCTGCTTCTGCCTGTGTCCCCACAGAAGCCACCGAGCGTCGGTTCTCGGGGCTGCTGGGCCCGTTGCTACCCGAGGGGACAGGCGAGCGGCTGGTGGCCGAGGGCTTCCACTGCCAGCTGAAGGGCCCCATGCGGGTGGACAAGAAGACTCTGGTAGAGCTGCATGACTTCCAGGCTGTGAGTGGATGTGGGGGGTGGGCCTGGCAGGTTGCTGAGGGGCCTGGCAAGCCCTGGTCATCTTGGGAGCATCTGCTGCAGGTCCTCACATACTTAATGGGGTCCAGCTGCGGGGCAAGGTGCTGGGTTGGCCCCCTACAAGTGAGCAGGCCCACAGCCGCCATGGGATGGCCACGCGGCACACGCAGAGCACGGCCCACAGCCACTGTGGGACGACCACGCAGCACATGCAAAGCAGGGCCCACAGCCACCACGGGATGGCCACGTGGCACACGTGCAGTGGGACCCAGGGCAGCCTGGGTCAGGGTGGGAGGTCTTGTGTGCGCCAAGGCTTCGGGTGGTGTCCAGAGTGGCCAGGAAGCAGGGATACCCTCCCCTGTGGGGGCTCTCGGGGCCTTACCCACCCCTTGGGGCCTAAAGCCTGTGCCCGGAGGTCCAGGGATGCAGACACATGGGTCATCCCATTGTCCTGCCCACCAGGGCCTACTTGGGGTTGGGGGCTGTTGGTTGCAGCCTCCTCCCCCAGACTGGGTGTGCAAGATGAGGGTCGAGGCCCTGGAGCCTGGGGTTCACCTGCTGTCCCTCCAGCCTACAGCCCAGGGCGCCTTCCTGCGGGGGTCCGGCCTGAGCCTCGCCTCGGGCCGGTTTACAGCCCCAGTGAGCGCCATTTTCCAGTTCTCTGCCAGCCTGCATGTAGGTGAGTGGGGCTGGGCCAGGGTGTGTGTGGTGGGGTGGGAGCTCGCTCTCCTAGGTAGGCACCCAACCTTGCAGGCCCTGGGCCTGGGTCCTGCTGTAGAGGTGCCCCCTGCTCCAACCCTGGCTCCCACTGGGGACCTGGACAGGGCCTCACGCCACCCTCCTCAGCCCACAGCCACTCCTGGGCCTGAAGCCCCCAGCCCCTGCCTCTGCCCCTCTCTGCCCCGTCCTCCCCAAGGGCTGCTGCAGACCTGGTGTGTCTCTGCAGACCACAGGGAGCTGCAGGGCAGGGGTCAGCTGCGGGCCCGGGACACAGTGCGGGCACTCATCTGCATCGAGTCCCTGTGCCATCGCCACACGTGAGTGGGCTCTCCTGGGCCACCCTGGCACCGGAGGGTCACAGGAGGCATCTTGAGGGGGCAAGGGTGGGTGCCTGAGCATGGACCGTCCTGCCCATGGAGAGGGGAGGGGCTGCCCCATGCACAGAGGCCTGCAGTGGGCACTGGGGTGGGTCATGGGGTCTCTGGGCACCGGGGTCCTGCCCACAGGCCAGCTGTGCCCTCACCCTTGCCCTGCGGTGCCGTGTCCAGGTCCCTGGAGGCCATCTCAGGCCTAGAGAGCAATGGCAGGGTCTTCACGGTGCACGTGCAGGGGCTGCTGGAGCTGCAGGTGAGGCAGGAGGGGTGGCAGGGCAGGAGGGGTCCTGGGCCTCCAAGCCTCCACCTGGATGCTGCCCAGCCCGTCAAGTGGACGGACGTCAGCTATGTGGCCACTCAGGACCCCTGGGCCCTGCATGGCCTGGGGCAGGTGCCACCTGATGGGGCTGGGGCACCATTGCTCCATGAGCTCCCCTTGGGCAGGCCTGTGGGGGGTGACATTCACTGTGAGTGTCTGCAGGCTGGACAGTACACCTCCGTCTTCGTGGACAATGGCTCCGGGGCGGCCCTCACCGTCCAGAGCAGCTCCAGCTTCTCTGGCCTGCTCCTGGGCATGTGAGGGCACCAGCCAGAGCTGAGAGGAGCTGCTGTGAAGAGGACTCTGTGAGGCTGTGGAGGGGCTGCCCGGCCCCCACTCCGCCCCGACCTTTGTTATCTGTGGTCACAGCAATAAAGAGCCCCCAGCCCTCCCTGTTGCCTGGTCATTGCATCATCTTCGTGGAGGTGGAGTTGAGGGCAGGGGCTGGAAGTGCAGCTGTGGAGGGACATGTGGCCTTAGGACTCGCTTTTCAGGCTGCTGGGGTTGGGGGGGTCAGGTGAGTGGGCTTTGCTTTGGACATGGATGTCCTGGCCAAGCGTCCTGGCAGCATGGGTGCAGCCCCTTCAGCCCCTGTGCCGGCTGAATACAAGGACAGATGTCCATCCAGGTCCCTGCTCAGCCCTGCCCACAGCCTGGGGCTGCCCCTCTGCTCACCTGGGGCCTGTCCAGGCTTGGAGGGCAGCAGCCTGGACACCCACGGGGCCAGGGGCCCAGATCTGTGCAGCCTGGGGAACTAGAAGCCCCAGAGGTTGGTGAGCGGACTGTGGCCAGATGCCATGTGCTGTGCACGTCTAGGGTGCAGAGGACATGGTGGTGGGCCCTCGGAAGGGCCTTGCCTGTGGGGCAGGCATGTGGAGCAGACGTGGGCAAGCCACGCACAGGACTGCACACACGTGCAGGCTGCCGGCAGTGTGTGGGAACCGGAGGGCATCCCGGCCTCCCAGGGGTGCCGAGGCACACGTGCCTGTGGGGCTGGGGGAAGGTTGTCCAGGCCCAGGCTGGCAGGCACCTTGCTCTCGCCTCCTTCCCCTTGGCAGCTGCCCCATCAGGCGGGTAAACTCCTCACCCCGAAGACGGGGTCAGAACTGCCCCAGAAGGGCGGCCAAGGCCGTGCCTGCAGGTCCTGCGGATTTGGGGCCCCCTTCCCTGCCCCCATTTTGGCTCCAGGAAACCAGACCAAAGAATGTAAATTGTTCTTAGGCTGTCTGGGCCTCTGCAGAGCTGCTGAGATACCATCGCTGGTTGGCACCCGGGTCCTCGGCAGGCGGCCCCAGCCAGAGCCCTGGCCCCTGACCCCTCCGCAGACGCGGGGGGTGGGGTGGGACCTGGCTCTGCAGCAGCAGGGCCCCGAGATCCTGTTTCCAAGGCTGATCAAGGAAGGGTCCCCTTCATCCTGCAGGTGGGGTCTGCCTGCAGGCTCAGGGGCAGGGGTAGGAGGTGGGGCAAGTGGAGGCTGGAGCCTGAGGGCCATTACCCGGCCCCTCTCCCGGCCCCTGACCCGCCTGAGGGGCCATAGGTGGACCCTCCCTGCAGCTGCTGGGTAATGAGGCAGGAGAGCGCTGGTGCCGGGTGGGCGCCGGTCCATGTGGTGGTGGGCGTGGCCGCCGCTGACCTGTCCCCACCTCTCTCGCTGGTCCCCCCAGAGTGGCGTCAGGGGCTGGGGGAGGTCTGTGCTTCCCAGTGGCTAAAGGCGCCGGCCAGGTCCGGGGGCTGTTCAGGCAGCCTGTGAGGGTGGGGCGTGGGTGCTGCACTGGGGTCCCCGAGAAGGCTGGGAAAGGAGGGGCAAGCAGAAGAGGTGGAGGCTTGGGAAGGCGTCACTGGCCCCGCTTCCATTGCAGAGGTCCAGTGTGGGGCCCCCTGGGGCCCCGGTCCAGAGTTCCAGCTTAGTTTGGCTGTAGGCTGCCCAAGGCACAGTCGGTAAGGATGCTGAGGGATGATGGTCAGCACCCAGCCAGACCCTCTCTGCAGTGCCTGGGGCCCCACTGCACCCAGGGGCCTTCCTGACAGTCCTGACACCAGTCAGTCCCCCCAACCCCGCCTGGCCCAGGAGGGGCGGGTCCCACCTGCTCATCCAGAGCTGGTGAAGGGGCTGTGATGACAGAGGTGGAGACCCAGACCCAGAGGTCAGGGCCCAGGGCCCCTCAGGGAGCGACAGATGGGAGACGAGGAGATGAGGAGATGAGAGATGAGGAGAGGAAGGAGCTGGGCCAGCCCGTGGGGCTCACGGTGGGCAGGTGGGCAAGTGGCCAGGGCCGGGGAGGGCCCGCATCCCGGCGCCCGACTCCACCTGCCTCCTGGTCTGTCTTGTATTCCTTCATTTCTGCCCCCTAATCGTAGGTCATTAGCCACTTAGCTGGAATTACCCTGGAATGTGCTGTCTCCAGCTGAGCCCCCAGGGCTGGGGGTGCAGGAGAAAGGAGTGGGGGGGAGCCTGTCGGCGGCGGAGGCTGCTGTAGGAGGGTCCAAGGGCATGAGCTTGGGTGGCCCAGGGTTTAGGCCCCAGGCCCAGACTGGCTCTCAAGGACACAGGCTGGCCCCTCAGTGTTGCCAAGGGGCTAGTGCAAGTGAGGCCCCAAAGGCCCCACCCTGGACCCAGCTGCATCTCCCTCAGTCCCACCATGCTCTGGAGCCTGACCCAAACCGTGGTGTTTATAAAGAACCCCAGGGCCTTGGGAGGCATCTGGAGCCCCCAAGCGGCCCTGGCCCTGTGGTCACACCCACTCAGCCTGAGTAGGGTGTCCTGCGGTGGGCTGCACACCAGGCGGGACTGCTGTTCAGAGCAGGGGCTTCCTGGGGTCCCTGGGGTGGCAGAGCCTGGGAGGTGGGGCTCTTTTCCTTGCCTGGCCTCTCTGGTTCTGGAACTGGGCTTTGGGGTGGTCCAAGCGTCTGGCTAGGGCCAGAGCCAGAATGGCCAGCACGGGCCTGGACAGCCTTGGGTTGACCCCTGACCTTGAGCCCTGCCCTGTAGCAGCAGGAGGTGCCGGGCTGACCTTGGTGACCCCGGCTAGGGCTCACTTCCCAGAACCTCCATCTGACTCTGCCTCCTGCTAGCTGGGGCTGGGGGACCTGCTGTTCTGGGGGCTCCTGGGACAGGATATATTCCTCCTGCACCCCCTGCCCCCTGCTTCCCAAGCCCTGGCCTTGGGGCCGCAGCCTGGCTGCAACTGACCGGCCCCTCCAGGCCCCAAGGCCTGCTCTGGGGCGCTGAGGGTGGCGTGTCTCTGCGTTGGGTCAGAGGCTGCTCCCCCAGCGGCCTTGGCGTGTGTCCAGTTAGAGTGCAGACAGGGTGTGGGCGTCCAGCTGGGGAGTCCTCCCCAGGTGGGAGAAGCCACCAGCTCAGCAGCTGGGGGCCACCTGGCTCTGCTCACCGTGGTCCCCTCTGGGGGCTGTGAGATGGGACAGGGTAGGGGCGAGGCTTGCAGAGGAGGGCCGCCCGCCTGGCCTGGGCCTGGGGTATGTGGTGGTGTGTGCACCTTGGGGTGTGGCTGAGACAGACTGGCCCTTGGTGGCAGGGCCTTTGGGTCTGAGTTCGCCCCCCTCAGGTTGGGCCTGGACTGGGAGGGGGTCTACCCTAAGGGCCCCATGGTCTGCCTGTCCCCAGCTGGGCCCCTCCCTGCCCACCTGGGAGATTCTCACACCCGGACCAGATGTCCTGACTCCTGTGACCTCGGCCAAGGACCAGAGTGGCCTGGGGGCCTGGGAAGCCTCGGGGGGAAGTGTCTGTGCTCCTCTCTCAGTCTGCATGTACCTGGGCTCCCTGTGCTGACCCCGTGCTGACTCTGCATGTCCTCGGGTGGCTGATGGTGTGTCTGACTCTGGTGTGGCCAGCTGCATGCGTGCTCCTGGCATGTGTGTGACGTGTGTCCCCTCTGTCTCTGCTCTGAGACCAGGGGTTTCTTTGCTGAGCTGGAATCACTGGGGCCCTCGGGAGCAAAACACAGGGCAGGTGGCTGGAGTCACCGGCTGGCCAGTTGCCGAGCTTAAGAGCAGCCGTGGTCAGGGTCCTTGGCGTGAGGGAGACCCGCTGGTGTTGGTCCAACCAGGGAGCCTGTTATGCTGGACGGTTGGGCTGGTGGCCACAAAACTGCTGGACCTCGGGGTGGGGAAGTGCTGCTGCCTGCGGCCTTGAGCTGGACTCTGACAGCCATTGATTCTGCATGATGGGGCAAAGGAGAGGGGTCCCAGCCCCTGTCCTGAGGCCGAAGCTGCCTGGGGGACAGAAGGGAGCCTTGTCTTGTCTGAGGCCTCTAACCTGTGCACAGAGCGCTCACCTAGGCCCAGGCTGTGGCCAGGAGGCCCTCACAAGACTGGAGCTGGGGGCACGGGGGTGCTGCGTCCTGGGGCCTTTGCTCACTGACCGGGCTTGGCCAGTGTGCCCTCTGGGCTGAGTTCAGGCTGCTCCGAGCTCTGCATGACCTCAGGGCCCTGCCGCAGGGTCAATGAGGTGCTGGATCTCCAGCTCCGGGCACCTGAGCTGACCCAGGAGATGAGGCCTCCAGCAGCCTGGGGTCTCCCGAAGCTGGCCCCTGGAGCCGGGTCGAGGCGGGCTGGGAGTCAGGAACACACCCCTGACCTGTGCCTGTGCCTGTGCTGCCATCGGCATGTCTGCCCGCCTGCATGTCTGATGCCAGAGTGGGGCTCGGGGACAAAGGGCCTTTGTTCAGGAGGGTTTGGGGTGCAGCTCCCCGCTCTGGGGCAGTGACTCATGGGTTCCTCTGCTGTGATAACATCAGTTTTGCAACAGCCGGTGTGTCACACACACCCAGGGCGGTGGCGAGGGCAGGAGGCACCCCCACCTGTGCCCGCGGTCCCTCCAGGCTACTCTGTTGGAACCTGGGTGTGTGCGGGAGTGGCCGCGAGAACAGGAGTAAACAGGAAGGGGCGTCGCAGAGCCAAGTCAGACTCCACCGCTGAAGTGAACTCTTGAGAAGCAGCCCCTCAGCCCCCCTGCAGTCCCCGGCCCACCTCCTGGCTGGACCCCAGCCCCCTGCTGCAGCCCCGCAGCCACCCCGCTGCAGCAGTGCCCATACCAGGCTCTGTGGGAGGCCCTCATGGCAGGCTGCACCCAGGCCAGACTGGAGGAGGCACTTCCCGGCAACCGCTGTGGAGGCTGCCTGGTGGCTCTTCGGGGGCCAGAGAGCAGGGTGGGGGCCTGTCTGGGGACTTGGTCGGAGGGCTGGACATTTGAGCCTGGCTCTGGCCACCCACCGGTCACTCCCTGTGCGGGGTGAGGTGGGCGTCTGTGGCAGGGGGCAGGGGCCCCTCGGGGCTGCCGAGACCCTCAGACGCCACCAGATGGAGGGGCGGGCTGGTTTCCTTCTCCTCGGGTCACCAGGCTGGGTCAGGCCCTGGGTCAGCAGAAGGCGGGAGCTGGACGAGGGCCTCCCTGGGCTCCTGTCCCGCTGGCCCGGCCATGGAGGCTCAGTGTTTACTCTGGAGGATGGAGCCGACCACTGTCTGGGCTCCCACAGCCACCCTCTGCAGCCCTGGCTTCTCCCCAGCCTCCAGCACCACCCAGTGCCACAACTAGCCGAGCCCTGCCTGCGGGGCCCGGCTGGCCGGCAGCCAGGGCCCTGGGGCCACGTGCAGACAAAGTGCAGGGACCTGGGGCCAGGGTGATGGGGGCACCTGGGCGGAGGCCTCTCTGGACACCACCTGTGCAAGTGGGCTCAGGTGTGTGTGGGGAGGGCCCCTGACCATCCTGCCGAGTGGCCAGCCCAGCGGCTGCCCCTTGCTGACCTCCCTACCCCCAGTGCCCAGGCCTCCAGGTCCGGTTGCCCACCCAGCTACCAGAGCCCCCCTTCCCAGGTCGGGGGTGTGTGCTCTGGGGTAGCATTCATCTCCAGGCTCAAGCGGAGACCCCTCTATGGAGACCCTTGACTCTCATCACTTCCTGGGCTCTCATTGCAAGATGGCCCAGGGCAGCCCTCAAGTCAGTGTCAAGGGGGAGGCACTCACCCCCACCCTTAGCTTCTGCCAAGGCTGGGTCTCCTGGGAGCAGCTTGGGCAGACTTACCCCTCCTGAGGCTCAATTCTCCTTCCAGGACCTCACCAGTCTTTGGGCAAGGACCCCAGGCACCTGCTTGTGCCCAGACTCAGGGTCACACCTCTGCCCACTCTTCTGACCTGGGCGACTGAGGTGGGCATCCAGAGTAGGACCACACAACTCTGGGACCTCCCAGAGCGGGTCCCCCTGGCCCAGGGCTGAGGGTTCCTGGGGTGCTGCCCCAGCCTCACAGGAACTGCTAATCTTCCCTGATTTCCCTCATTTCCCATGTCCCGTTCCGGGGGCCCTTGTGGGTCCAGGAGACAGCCAGGCGCGAAGAGGGTCCCTGCTGCATCGATGGAGAACCCCCTGGCTTTGCCCACCTCGGTCATCGGCCTTCTCTGTGACTCCCGCAGACCAAGGCGCTGGTCAGAGTGAGGTGCTTGAGCTGCAGTCCATGGGTCACCCACTGAGGCTGTGTTGTAGGTCTTGCTGGGTGCTGAGGCCAGAGTGGAGGCCTGAGGCTGGCCAGGAGGCAGACAGCAGAGGCCCACTCGGGTGGGCCTGGGTGTCTCCCCCACCAACCCGGGCCCTCTCCTCTCTCAGCTCCCACTCTCTTCCCCCTGCCAGCCCTCCTTGGGCCACTTAACCACATGCCACCTCCAAACAGACCTCAGGTGGGGGAGGCTCAGGGTCCTTGGGAGGAAGGGGCGGGATGGGCTTTCAAAGACACCAGCAGAAGAGGGTCCTGGGGCATGCTGGGGGCAGGGGCACGTGCAGCCCCAGGATGCAGGGTGTGATGGGTTGTTCAGTTTGCTTTGGGTGACCTCTGAAGTGGTCAACGCAGTAAGGTGGTGGTGGTGGTGGGGGGGCGGTCACCTGGCTGCAGTGTGGCCTGGGGTGGCGGTAGTGCTGGGACTTCTGCATGAGGCTTGAGGGTCTGAGAGTGGGGGATGGGGGGTGGGGAGCCAGCAGCACCATCCACAAACGGGTGGGGTCGGGAAGAGCTGGGATGGGGGCTGAGTGCCCAAGAAAGACAGTTGTGGGGGGTGGAGGGAGAAGAGGGAGGAGCTGGGGGGAAGCTGGGGGGCAGTGGAGAGAAGATGCGCATTTCTACAGGAGCAGACGGAAGGGGAGGCCTGAGGGGTCCCCAAGCTGGCAGTGAGCCCACCCTGGCCCTGAAGAAAGGGGGGTGGGTGCCCACAGAGGCCAGACGACAGGTGAAGGTGACAAGGCTTTGGGGAGGGTCCTCTGGGTGGGGCTGGGAGGGGACCTCCAGGGAGACCACGGGGTCTCAGAACAAGCAGCCCCACAGAGGTTGGACTGCGACCCCATGGGAGCCCCATGTTTGCTCCGAGGCCAGGACTGGGGGGATGGACAGATGGGCAGCGGTGGTGTCAGGACAGACACGGGGACCCTTTCACCCGCTCCCTGGACTCAACGTGAGAGAGATGTCAGCTCAACCCAGAGCATGCTTATTAGGAAGAAAATCAACACAAGCCCCTGGAACAGGGTGCAGGCATCAAGGAGCAAATTTGAGGTCACTCTCTTCACTGGGCTGCCCGCGCCCCAGGCAGGCTCTCCATGGTTCTTCTGGAGGCCCTGGGCACCTGGCCTGCCTTAGGTCTGTTTGTGGCCAGCTGTCATGTGCTCCCTGGGGCCCCAGACGGCGAAAGTCAGTGGCCTTACCGTGTGGACAGAGTGCCTGGGGCAGGTGGGGCCCCAGGGAGGAGTGCTGGCCGCCCTGGTCAGACCCTGTGGATTCTAGACTGAGACGGAGCCAGGGAGAGATGGTGACCCAGACAGCGGGGATGTGAGCCAGGCCTGATGATAGAAGGAGGGTGGGGGCTGGGCAGCACCGTGGGCTGTGGAAACGCCTGGATGCGTGGCCTGCCTGGGACAGCAGGGTCTGTGCTCAGCCTTGGGAGGCAGAGAAGAAGGTTGGGTGCAGCCAGTGGCTGAGGGGCCTGTGATGCACAGCGAGTACCCCCAGAGCTGGGAGGAGCCGAGTGAAGGTGGGCACTGGGAGCTGTGCAAGACTCCTCAGGCTGCGGGAGCAAAGAGCAATAAACGGGGGTTCAACGCAACAAGTTTACCCTCACAGTTCCGGAGGCCAGGAGCTGAGATGGAGGGCTGGGCAGGGTTGTGCTGCTGAGACCTGGGTGAGCCCTCCTGTCCCTTCCCAGCCTCCGGGGGCAGCCATACGTCTCTTGCCTGGCGGCCATGTCACTCCAACCTCTGCTTCCGTTGCCACGTGGCCTTCTCCTCTGTGGGTCCCTGTCCCCTCTTCTTAGAAGGACAGCAGTAACGTTGGAGTATGGCCCATTCAAACGACTCATCTTGCCTCAAGGACGTCTGTGGGGATCCTGTTTCCTACTAAGGCCACATGCACGTGTCCTGGGGATGAGGACTTCAGCACATCTTTTTGGGGGCACAGTTCAACTCACAGCAGGGCCCTCAGATTGTGACCACAGCACGGCCCCCACCAGGTGGGTGGGCGGAGGGAGACCTTGACAAAGTTCTGGGGGATGGTGGACAGGTCCCAGGAGGACCCAGACACAAGCAGCACTTTGCATCCAGTGGCTGCAACCGGGGAGACCAGGGCAGCCACCCAGGCCCGTCTGGAGGGACCCAGGGTTGGCCCTGAGCCGGAGCCACGGCTTCAGGGCCTGGCAGCTCTGCCTACTGGCTCATGTCTCCCCAGCGGATGGGCCCAGCAGGCGGACAGGTGAGGGGCTCCTGGCTCCTGGGCTGATCTGACTCCTGGGCCGTGTGCTGGGCAGGGAGGGCAAGGGTGTGGCACAGGCCTGGGGACAGCCAGGTACACAGGTGAAAGGCAGGGACAGTGAGAGACCACAAGGCAGCAGTCAGCAGGTGATGTGGATGGGCTGCCCCAAGAAGGTGACTTCAAGTGAATAAAGGGACAGTGGAGGCCCGAGGCAGGGAACATGTGCCAGATGGCCAGCAAGTGAGCCTGATGTGGAGGGCAAAGGAGGCTGCAGCCAGGAGCAGGGGAGAGGGGCCTGAGGGTGGGGAAGTGATTGGGGGACAGGCAGCAGGCCTGAGAAGGGCTGTGAGCACAGGTGTGATGGCTCAGGCCGCTGGGTGCCCTGCTCACCCCTCCTGCTCTCAGCGCCAGGCTGGGCTGGTCCTGGGTCCCCTGCAGCTCATTGCTCCATGGCTTGGCTGGGGGTGGTGAAGTGGGGGCAGAGGCAGATCCACTGCCCCACCCTGACGATGTCACCAACTTGGGGGCCTCTTGATGGCCTTCTCTCTCACTCCATGGATGCAGCAGGGTGCTATGGCCACAGCTCAGTGCTCAGAGAAACAGAGCCCCCCAGCCATTGAAACTGGAGGGGTCTTTGAATCTGAACGTTTCTATTTTTATCATGTGCACACGGAAGCCCAGAGGCCAGAGGACCTTCCCAAGGTCAGAACTTACTGGCTAAACCTAGTATACACAGCAACATTGGGGGGCAGAGGAGCGAAAACCCTACCCCCTGTTTGGGGGGGATCAGGGGCTGGCCCCTTGTGTACAGGGACAAGAGGGGCAGCCAGTGGGCTGGCTCCTCCCCAGTTCTGAGCTGCACACCAGCCTGTGCTACAGGGCCTGGAAAGGCCTGGAAGCCCCCAGCGTGTGAGGGTGGGGCACGCCTCCTCCAGGCTCACTTGAGGCAGTGAGGCCTCACTCCCTTCTGTCCCATGGTCTCCAGCAGGTGCATGTCCTGGCAAACCCCCAAACTGTGGCCCCCAGGTTCTCCCCAGCCCCTAGCTTGTCCCTGGTCCTTCTTGGGTCTTGCCAACTCTGCCACACCAAGCGGACCCCAGCTTTGGGGGTGGAGGGGGCCAGGAGGGTGGTGGGGAGGTCTTGGCTCAGACCTGGGGTGGGGGTGGGGGACGACAGGACAATGGCAGGTGCAGCACTGGCCCCCCGCAGGAGCCATGCACCCTGCCCTCGGCACACGTGTGTGGTGAACATTCCCCTTCCTGGTGCTGGGCCATCCTGGGCCCCAGGTTCCTATTTTATTAGAATTAGTGACGTGATATATACTTTTAAATTGAACTTTCTGAGATAACTGTAAATTCACATGCGGTTGTGAGAAACAGTACAGGGAAATCGTGTACCCCTCTCCCAGGCTCCCCCAATGGTAGAGTCTCGAAAAACTGTAGGATGACATCACCACCGGGAAACCAACATTCAGGCTTCAGGCAAGATCCCGAGTTCCCACCCACTTGAGTACCCACCCCACTTCCCTTCCCGCTCCTCCTGGACCAGCAGCACTCATCTGTCCTCTGTCTCTACAACTCTGTCGTCCAAGGACGTCACAGAAACGGAAGCAGCATGTAATATTTTGGGACTGGCTTTTCTTGCTCAGCATCATTCTCTGGAGATTCATCCTGGCTGCTGAGGGTGTTTTTGAAGTTCCTCGTTTTCTAGCTCTGCGACCTTGGCCAGGGCACCGTCTCTTGTGCCTCAGTCTCCTCCAGTTGTTGGAAAACGAAGGGGCTGTTTCCAGGGCTGAGGCAGGCGGCTGGCACATCATCCTGGTTCTCTGACAGCCTGCCTTCTCTCTCCACGAGGCCGTGGTGGGGGAGGGGCAGGACCAGGGCCCCTGGAGAGGGCCCTGCACAGGGGAGCTGTGTACCTCTCAGATGAGGCCTGCTGCCCACGCCCAGGCCTGCCCGGGCGCCCCGCTCAGGGGTCTGATAGCCGTGTATGGAGACACCACTTCGGTTGGAGAAGAGTTGGTTGTTCTGTCTCCTAAATTCCCTCATAAAAGCCGGTTTGGTGGCCTGACTTCCCCATCTCTCAGGGCCTGCAGTCTCCTGATCCTAGGCTCCCCCCACAGTCTACAGGGTGCATGTGTGCCCACGTGGTGCTGGGCAGGGATCTGGGGGTCCAGCCCTCGGCTCCAATCCCGGCTCTGCCACTGGCCACTCAGCAGGTCGCCCGGTCTCTCTGAGCACCTTCTCGTCTGAAACAGAGATGTGCACACAACTCATCTGATGATCCCGAGGCTCAGAAGAGACGTCCCAGGTCAAAAATGGTTGGCAAGAGGAATCAGCATTCCTGGGGAACCTGTCCCCCCACTGGTGGGCACGGCCCTGCTGGGTCCACCCTGGTGTTCCCAAACTGGGGTCGTCTCATGAATCCAGGTCCTGTGAACAAGACATTCGCAGGGGCAGTCAGGCCTGGCAGGGCGGTCAGAAAGCTCACACTCACCTTGGAACCAGAGCTGTGTCAGACCTCCAGACCTCCCTGGACCAGCTCCCGCCTTCCAAAGGTGGTACAGTTGCATTTAGGCTACCAACCACAAGACCAGCCCCTTCTTTCCAGGTTGAGACCCCAAGTTCCAGTCTTCAAACAAGAATAACCCAAACCTGGTGCTGCGGACCGACTGTGTCCCCCAAATTCAGACTGAAGCCCTGACCCCCAGTGTGACAGTATTTGGAGGCGAGGCCTTCAGGAGGAATTAGGGTTAGAGGAGGTGGTGAGGGTGGGGCCCGGCGATGGGATCAGTGTGCTTGTAAGAAGACACCACAGAGCTTGCTCTGAACTTAGGCCAGCTCTGGGCCACGAGGACACAGAGGGAAATGCGGCCGTCTACACACCAGGAGGCCTCACAGAACCTACCCCTGCTGCCACCCCGAGCTCACTTCCAGCCTCCAGAACCGTGGGAAACAGGTCGGCTGCAGAAGCTGCCAGCCTGTAGGATTTCGTTGTGGTGTCTGAGCTGACACCTGCTCTAACGCCCACAGCCTGAGACGCAAAAGAATGGCAATGAGAACACAAGCCAGAGCTTTGTCCCTGCTCACACCGCCCTGAAGTGGGCTAGGGAGACCGCGGGGGCAGCCCGTTGCGCAGAAAGAAGAGCCGGGTCAGACCCCAGATAAAGACGTGCGGTCTCCACACGGACTGCTGGCTGCGAGGCTCGCGGTTGTCCTGGAGCCACTTCTGCTACCTCTGCAGTCACCGTGGCCCTCACCCCACGTCTAACAGGGAAGAAAGGAAACCCTGACCTTCTGAGGAATGTTAGAGGCGATTGGTCAGGGGTGCACACGCATGCTTTCTGTCTCCAAAACGACACGCCAAGCCAGCAAAGCGTGTTTTCTTAAGACAGAATTTGGGAAGCCTCATCAACACTTCCAAGGGTTCCGAGTCCTGGAACTCGAGCCCAGAGTCAAAAGTAACAGGCGCACGTGTGACAAACACTTGCCCCGCGTCGCCTCGAGGAAGCCTTAAAAGGGAAGTTTTTTCAGAGAGAAACAGTGCAACCGACTTAGGCGTGAACTGAAAGAAGTGGAAGTTTTGAAGCCCTCCCACGTTCCAGCACACATGCAGTAGCGGGTCTACCACTCTGGCTGTAAAAACAGATTAAGCCACAAATTCCAAGTTCTGATAGAAAAGTCTTCTGATAAATAATTGAAAAAATACTGAGACTCACACAGTCCCACAAATTTACAACAATTATAAATAAATCACAGGCAACTGCTGAATTACATTTACCACAAATTCACTCTAGGGCCACACACAGACCAAAATGCCTACAAGTAGTTAACATAAAACACAGCTAAGTCTTAGACTTGACACATGACAAATGACGCCCACCTGAGACGTGAAAAAATGGAACCTAACTAAACAAAGGAACAGTAATTTTGAGAAAAGCCGTTGGATTGCAAGACAGATGGCCTGCGGCACGCCAGGGCCTGCAGGTCAGTTTACAGCAGCCACAGCTCTCGGCGCAGGGAGACTTCCCAAGTGGACGGTCAGCACGGCAGACGTGGGATGTGACACAGTCCTCACCCCAGATCAAGTCAGGATTCTTTTGGGTCCGATTCTACAAGTGTCTGTGAGCTCCAGCCTCTTGCTCCTTGCCCCCACCTTGGAACAGGACAGCAAGTGGACAGGCCGGGGTGGCTGCAAGCCCCTGCAGACTTGGGAGGCTCTGCCTGCCATCACCCCAAAGCTGGGCATGTTGCCAGTCCAGGCAAACGAAGGCTGAAATCCAGACAGGACATTTCTACCTAGCCATGATGCACTGCCATGGCAAGCCCCAGGGGTCTCCCAGGCTCAGAAGAAGATGCTCTTGAGTGAGCCCACATGTATGGCCACTGAGGTGCACAGCCCTGGACCCAGACTGGAGCTGGGACCCAGGATTTGGCCACTGCCACTTGGCATCTGCCCAAAAGCTCCACCAGTCACTGGACAAACCAGATCCCTTCCAGGGCTGGATTCATCCCAGATAACTACCTGGAACCTGTCGGCTTCGCCAGTGGAACGCCAGTAGGAGGCTACCTCAGCTGGCGCCCCACAGGCCCCCAAGTGACTCTCACTGCAGCGGCCACCTCCCGAGGCGTCTGTCCTGGCCTCTCCTCCAGCGCCGGCGTGCGGTGCGCAGAGCAGCTGCGGTGCCCTCGGAGCCCCGGGTGAGGGGGCTGCGCTCAAGGGATGCCCTCCTTCCTCTGGCAGCACTGAGAGGGCGGCGCGGACCAGTCGTAGACGTAGGAGAGACGCAGCTGCACCTCCTGCTTGCACAGGCGGCCCTCGCGCGTCAGCGTCTGGTGCTTCTCCAGCATGTCCTGCAGGCTCTGCTTGTGCGTCACCAGGTACTGGTTGCTGCAGCCGCGGGACTTGTACTCGGTGTCGAAGCGCGGGTCGTGCTCGCGCTGCACGTCCACTGGTGCGAGCCAGGCGCCCAGCGACACGTCCTCGCTGTGCCACGCGCGCAGATACTCGCGGCTGATGCGCAGGTAGTGCACCAGGTCGGCCGAGAGCACGTAGCCGCCCCCCAGCGCGTAGGGCAAGTAGTAGTCGCACAGCTGCCAGGCGGCCTCGCGCCAGCGGCCCCCGGGCTTGACGCGCCCGCGGCCCGAGAAAAAGCCCCAGTAGAGGCGGCGGCGGCGCGCGGGGTCGCGGGCACGCAGCTCGGCCACCAGCGCGTCCAGCCGTGCGAACGAGTCGTCGTCCGCCTTGAGCACGAACTCGAAGGCCACGTGCTCGTCCAGCCAGGCCAGCATGGCCAGCACCTTGGCCGTAAGGTTCTCGTAGGCGTCGCGCAGCGCGGGCAGCAGCAGCAGGTCGCCGTGCCGTGCCTGCTCGCGCTCCAGGGCGCGCCGCTCCTCGGCGCCCAGGCCGTCCGTGCCCACGGCGAAGCGCGCCCACACGTCGCCCGGGCCGCCGCGCCGCGCCGCCGCCAGCCACGTGCCGCGGACCACGCTGCGCCGCTCGGCAGCCCGCGGCGCGCTGGCCACCAGCACGGCCAGGAAGGCGGCGGCGCGCGCGGGCCCGGCGGGCAGGACGCCGCGGCCGGGCGGCGGGCGGGGGCCCTCGGCCGCGCAGCGCGCCAGGTAGAGCAGCGCGGCGCCGCAGAGCGCCAGGCCGCTCAGGCCCAGCGCCGTCCGGTGCCGCCACGCGCGCCGCAGCAGCTTCATGACCCGGCCGGCGGCGTCGCACGCCCGGGGCTGGGGGACTGGACGGCAGCGGCGGGGGCGGCGGCGCGGCAGCGGGCCGGCCTGGGGTCACGTGGCCCTGCGCACGCTTCTCATTGGGCGCCCTGGGGCCACGTGCACTCGCACGCGTTTATCATTCCGCGTCCCGGACCGGGCTGGGGCCTTCCCGCCTACGCGGCCCCTTCCGCCCGGAGGAAAGATGGCGGCGCCGGCGTCCTCGCTGGGAGGTCGCGCCCCCGGCACCGCCCCGCGGCCCGCCCCTTCCCGGAAGAAAGATGGCTGCGGCCTAGCCACCGCGTCGGAGGCGTCACAGGTGCTCAGGCACTCGGCCGCTCGGCGGGTTCTGGGCGAAGGGAGGGCGGCCGGTGAGTGAGGGCCCGGGGCCCGCGCGGCCAGCCCGCCCGCCGTCGGGGAGTGACCGGCCCGGGCACTAGGAGGGGGCTCGGGGCTGCTTGCAGGCCTGCCGCCCAGCACCGCGTCCTCTGCCCGGCCCCACGAACGCCGCCGCCGGACAGGCCGAGGGACCGGCTGTCCAGAGTCGGGCGGGCCCGGGGGTTACGGCGCGGTGACCTGGTGCTCCCCGCCCGTGAAGGGGGACTGTGACCCCGGTTAGTAGGGTTGCTGGGAGTTTGGGGTCGTGTGTGTAAATCCTTGATAATCCAGACAGCCGGTGGTGGTTGTCATCGCGCCGTCGGGGTGATTCCTAGACCCGCGACGGAGCTTCCGAGGGAGCGTCTGTGGCGACGAGAACCCGGTTTACCCGGAACAGACGCCGGGACGCCGGGAGCCGTGCGTGTGTCCTCCTGCGTCCGCTCCAGGGCGTCGTTGGCTCCCCCCGGGGGTGCGCCTCCGGCACGGTCCGTCTACAAGGGGAGCCCTCGGCGGGCGCGAAGCGTGAGGGCGGGCTGGGGACCAACGTGTGCCCCCCGGCCGGTCTGTGCCCACGGGATAAACGAGCACTGTGCGGGGGGCAGGACGTCTGGGCCGCCCCATCTCTGTACGGCTATTTTTGAGTTACCTTTTGTGCAAAACATTGTGTAAATAACATTCCGTGTACTTCTTATCGACATAAGTGAATCAGAATCGACTTTGTTCTTTCGAGAGCGAAGTACAGTCTGTTTGGACGTGACACGTGTTTTTATGGCCACGGTCAGTGGGATGATGTCAACACCAGGAGGAAGTGGCCTCCTTTGCACAGCACTTTGCTGGCCGGGAGAGCTGGGACGGCAGGAACAGCATTACAGTCCAGCAGGAAGGGAAGATGTCCTCAGCCACATAAGAAAGCCACATGTGAGCACCTGTGTCTGGGGCTCCTGCCTTGGTGACTGCAGGTGGTAACCCTGGACTGCCCGCCTCCCAACAGCCCCACTGGCATTGCCTTGGCGCCTGGGCACAGCTTTTCCACTCAGCGTGACACCCTGAGCTGCCTGCCGGGCCTTTCGGGTCCTCGCCGTCCCAGGCACCACTTTCTGGTTTCCACGACCTCTGGTTGTAGAGTCGTGTGGGTTTTGAGTCCTCTGCCTTTATTGTCCCCTAGGCCCCGTGGTGTTTAGTGTGTGTGTCTGCAGGACCCTGATGTTTCCTGGAGCACATGCATTCCTGTGGCAGGAATGCCCGTGTTTGTTCACTTGGCTCTGTGGAGTGCCCACTGTGTGCAGTGTGACAGGTGCTAGGGTGGTGTGCCCTTGAAGGGCGACAAGCGGGGGCTCCAGGAAACGTGGTTCAGGGCACAGTTAGACCACAGCACACGGGGCAGCTGGTGGGCTCTAGTGGGTGTGGGGGATGCAGGCCCCCACAGACCTGGGAAGAGGAACTTAGAGCTGCCCAGGGAGAGTTACTCCTTCAGGGGAATGAGGCAGATGATTTCAGAGAGGAAGGTCTCGTGGAAGGCCCAGATAGTGCGTGTGTCCAGGAGAACCCCTCAGAGGAATGATGTCAGGACCAGGTCGGGTAGAAAGGATGCATCAAAGAAACAAGTGGTGGGGCCGGCCTGGTGGCACAGCCGTTAAGTTCACACGTTCCCCTTTGGTGGCCCGGGGTTCCCTGGTTTGGATCCTGGGTGCGGACCAACACACCACTTGTCAGGCCATGCTGTGGCAGACGTCCCACATAAAATAGAGAAAGATGGGCACGGATGTTAGCTTGGGGCCAGTCTTCCTCAGCAAAAAGAGGAGGATTGGCAGCGGATGTTAACTCAGGGCTAATCTTCCTCAAAAAAAAAAAAAAAAAGAAAGAAACAAGTGGTGGCATCTGTCAGAGCAGCCGGGGAGAGCCCTGTCCCCTGGCTTTGGCCCCATGCGCCCTCAAGCTGTGGTGTGGTGGCCGTGCTACCAGCCAGCATGGGAGTCTGCTCTGCCTGATGGAGGGCACTGTGGTTTCAGAACCTCATGTCCCAGCTTGGCTGCAAATGGTGCCCTGGCCCGGGGTGAGCATGCTTCCCTTCTGTGGCTCATCCCTAGAAAGACTGCAAGAGGAGATTGCAGGGGACAGGGCCTCAGATGTGCCTGGAAGGACCAGCAGGTGCTTGCCAAGTGTACAGACTATGGGAGGAACAGGTTAGGGGCAGGAAGAAGCTAGAGTTCCCTTTGGGATCGTGAAGCACGCAGGCCCTTGAACAGTCAAGTGGGGAGCTGGGGAGGCAGCTGGCCCCTGTGCCGGCTCGGAGGAGATCTGGGGAAGGAGCCTGGGGTGCGAGGGGCTGCGGGCAGGGGTGGCTGGGGTGGCTGAGTGCCAGGCATGAGCGCCTGTGGCCCTGGGATCCCTGATGTGGCAACGTGGATAGAAGGGTGGCTTTGTTTCTTCGCTGCCAGGCCCAGGCACACGCAGGATGACAGACTTTCTGGGCACTCCAGCTTTTCACTGTTTCTGCATAAACATGAGCAAGAACGTGTGTGCGCACATGTGTAGGTGTATGTATGTGTGCTTGTGTATGTGTGCTTGTGTATGTGTGCGCATGTGTTTGTGTGCACCTATTTGTGGGCATGTGCACAGTCATGCGTCACTTAATGAGGGGGATACATTCTGAAACGTGTCATTAGGTGACGTCGTCATTGTGTGAATGTCACAGAGTGTCCTTACCAAACCTATATGGTACAGCCTGGTACATTCCTAGGTTGTATGGTACTGATCTTGTGGGACTAGAATCGTGTATGCTGTTCATTGTTGACCAAAATGTTGTTATGTGGCACATGCACGTGTGTACATGTGCATGTGTATATGTGTGCACTTGCTGTGCTTGTGCGTGTGTGCCTATTTGTGCCCACAGGGATCATCGACGTGGGAAGATGGGAGGGGGCTGGTGCTCTGCTGGTGGGTTTGGGCATTTGCTGGCACAAGGCCCAGTCCTTGCAAAGCCTTGGGGTCGGGGAGAGGCTTCTGTTTCATAGGGGGAAACTGAGGCTGGGGAGGTCAGGTGACTTAGTCAAGGTCACAGCTCACCATTGCTGAGTTGGGATCCAGAGAGTGAATTATCATGACTCGAGGGTCAGCCAGGAGGGGCTGAGACAGACCGTGCTGTGGCATTGAGAAGGGGCAGGTTTCCTGGTGCCAGGCAGCCCTTGAGATGGGGCTGCTTTACCTGAGCAGGAGAGACAGGAGCTGGAAACCTGTGTCTTTGAAGAAGGAAAGAAACCCATGCCTAGTATGGATCCTGTAAACCCAGGACTTCTGTTTCATGGTACAAAGTGGACTTCTCTTGAGTGAAGCATGTGCTGGGCTCCAGCAAATGATCTCTGTATCCTCCTTGTAGACCATAACTGCCCCCTGGGGTCTGGCAGCCGTGGGCTGTTGGCCTGCAGCTGCTCTGGGAACGGAGCCTTGTGCAGGGCCTGGGGTGGTAGGGGGTTGTGATTGGATCCTGGGCCTCACTTCCTCACCTGCCCTTCCTCTCTCTCTCCAGCTCCTGGCTACACTTGCAGATCACCGCAGTCTGGACCCAGGTGGCCATGGTGTCCAGGCAGCCTCTGCTCTGCAGCTGGACTCCTCGCTGCCTCTGGCTCCTAGGGGTCATCCTTCTGATGGACGCGTCTGCCCGGCCTGCCAACCACTCATCTGTTCGGGAGAGAATGGGCACCAGGGAGGAGAATGAGATTCTGCCTCCGGACCACCTGAACGGGGTGAAGCTGGAGATGGACGGGCATCTCAATAAGGACTTCCACCAGGAGGTCTTCCTGGGGAAGGACACGGACGGGTTTGAGGAGGATGCGGAGCCACGGAGGAGCAGGAGGAAGCTCATGGTCATTTTCTCCAAGTAGGTGCCCAGGCCGGGGAGCTGTGAGGTGTGTGCGGGATGGCTGGCATCTGCTGCCTTGTTGGTCCAGTCCTGGCTTCACACAGGGTGGGAGATGTCGAGGGACCCGTTCGATGATGTGCTGTAGGGGAGGGGGCTGTGCTGCCTGCTCTTGGCCGACCACGGTGGTGAAGTTTGCGATGTTTGAGCTGAGGAACGTGCAGTCCTGAGCCAGTGCACCGGGCCGGCAGGGCCTCAGAGGACCAGAGCATGGGGCTGCCAGGCAACCCCAGGACCGTACAGCCGGGAGGGCTGCAGGTGGCCCGGAAGAGGCCCGCTGCCCCGCGTGGGGCCATAGTGCACAGTGGCCTCCAGCTCCATCCGCTGTGGTTATGGGAGTGGTCACAGTGGGTCACAAGACCAGTTAGACGAGGCCTGGCAGGAGGCAGTGACCTGTGAGGTGTAGGGAGGGCTCAGGTTGCAGTGGGTGCACAGAGCCGATGGGCTGTGTGGGTTCCAGGGCCGGTGAGAGGCACGTGTGGCAATTTGCTGTATTCCATGTGTCTGGAAATTCCTGTGATACGACGTGAAGGAGCGTGAGAGTGAGTGGACGGGGCGCATGCCCTTATGGTTTTGCTGGCCCGGAGCCCTGACCTCACTGTTGTCTGCCTGGAGCAGGGCTGTGGTTGCTCCCTGCCTCTGCCCTCCCTTCTCGTGTCCCTGAGTTCCTCGGGCCACCTCTGTCCTCAGTGACGAGCTTTTGCTCCATGGTTCTTGGAACC